CGGCACGCAATATTAGCTGTGGTCACACTACAGACTTTTACCTAGGTAAACCCTTTTTACCTAGGGCAAATTCATCAAAAATCTACCTAGGTAAATTCATCTCGGGTTTTGTTTTACCTAGGTAAAAATTCTGTGCAGGTCACACTACTGATATCGGCTCCCAATATTTTCACGCCTGTTAAATTTTTTGGAGTGTGAATTCAGAAGGCAAAATGCGCAGGGATCTAGCTGATCAAAGAGACGTTTTTTTCTTTTATCTTGGTGTTATTTCTTACGCTAATTCAACGTGCAAGGTGAAGAAAGGCGAAGACGTAGACGACTTGTGCTCCCAAAATTTCTATCACAGCTTGATCTATGTCCGGTTCTGTCATCAAGACCTTCGCCGACGAGCGTCTATTGGCTAGCAACCTCAGTATTTCATTTTTCCCTAGCTATTGCTTTGGGGTAGCTGTCAAGGGAAACTCTATTGTTTTCGAGACATATCCAAGACCCAGACGATAAAATTTCCCCGAGGTAAGTTACCTAGGGAAAAATCGGTCACACTTGAAAAATCAAGTTTCCCTAGGTAAACTGTCAACAAGTCGTGTTTACCTAGGTAAAAAGTCTGTAGTGTGACCACAGCTATTCTCTTTGCGAGAATTACAACAAACGAACCCGTCTGCATTGAGCGCTGAAACAAGTTCTCGGCACCAATCTGATTCCCCTGAGAACCAAATTTGACACACAGACGAAGAGGGTGCGAGCTTGGCCTGTTATCAATCAACTTTGATTTCCGGAACGTCATTTTTCAGCCAATGGTATTTCCCTTCGTCTGGGCGAAGTACAAATGAAAATTTGTAAGGGATGGTTGCAAGCTCTCCTTTCCTCTGCCCCTCGCGGCTTCGCCGCTCGCTCGCGCGTTCTCGCGAGACTCGTTTCACTCGCCCAAATAGGAGAGCTTGCTCGCAGGCTACACACTTCCCGCCGTCGTGACTTCCTGTGTTTATTTACCTACATTTTTTCGTCAAACCCGGCCACCGCGGTCAAGAGACATGAGCACTTGATATATTCTATTAATTTTAGGGGCCATAATGTTAAGTTTTAACGAAGAGAAGTTTCTAAAACAGCAAAAGTGTTCTATGTGCAGCAAGCAATATTCTCGCTACTAAAAAGGATCAGATTACACGAGGAGATAAGGAAAGCTTGACACGAAGAATGCAGTCGCTTCTGTTGGAAAATCTGGTGTTGGGGAAAAAATCTAACCAGCAAACAAAAACAATGAGAACAAAAACGAATTACAAGCCTAAAGCGAACGACAAAGGAAAAGAAAACAACGCCATTTTTTTCGAAACCTGGCCGAGTTCAGTATCAAAATAATGAACTAAAATTAAATACCGACGTGCCGTACATCGGATGTCCTTGGAAACATTTCAGATGGCCCAGCGAATCATTCTAAGTTTCAGTCCGATAACAAAAAGCCTCGGGAAATTTGAAAGGGGTTTAAATGATTAAACTGTGCAAATCAGTTTATCAACAATGTGAAACCGAACCGACAGTAGATTTGTAGCTGGACTTAAGGTATCAGCCACCCTTCAGGACCGTCCGCGCGCGGATGGCTGTAGCGTTAGTTGTTTTTATAAAAACCCCTATAAAGCATATATTTTTTAAAAGCTTAATAATTCCAGATTATGGATTTGAACTAACAAAAACGATTTACTTAAATGTGTTTCGAAATTGGAACGCTTTGTGTAAAAGTACACGTCTCTATAAATCATGTTCCACTCCCGCCGGAAATAAACGGAAGAAAACAATTAACACCGCTTTCGCTTCTCAACACGTTCCACTAAAAGCCGTGTCTCAGATTTTTGACAAGTGCGTTTGTTTTTCTTTTATTAGCAACTGAAGTTGGGGAAGGCAATTAGTCAACACTCCCTGTGGAAAAAAAGCTCTAGCTTTAAAATGAAAAGGAGTATTAAAATTCGCAGACACGGTTTTGTAGAAGAGATATATGGCATCACTCTGGCCAAATTTTAGCCAAATTGATTGAAAGGCTGCCGACTTGGAGTTTAAAACGTAGGAGTCTATCGGCAAAATTTGCGTTCGGAGATAAAATAGAAAATACATTTTTGGCGGCATCCTACCTGGAAGGAGATTATAACACCTAAATGTTTATTCTGATTGATATCAGAGAGGGATCAATTTTCTCTGACAATAGGACTTTGACAGGTAACATGTAACTAGAACAAACTTTTTATTGCTATCAACATCTTCAAGTGAACAGTTTAATTCTCCGTTGGAAAACTTCCACTCTTTCACACCACGAGAAGCACGGTTTAATTCTTTCTCGAGCAAAAGTTTTGCCTCTCCTTCGATCTTTTTTGTATGATTCGCCGAGGCGTTATTGTTGACGGCGCCAGGCCAAGGAAACTAAAAAACTTTGAAGCCGCCGAATATCCACCACCGATTGCTCGAAGGCCAAGAACTGAGGCCCGGTATATTTCAAACGCTCTGCTCTTCTCGGAAGAATTAAAAACAGAATTTGGCTTGTGCGACGGACAGCTCTCATTCTCGCACTGGATTCTCCAGGTAGAACCAAGTCCATGCTTAGTCGTTACATTTTCCATGACTTGGACTCTTCCCTGGCAAAATCGACAAGATACAGACTCGTCCAGTTTCTCAAGCAGCTTTTCGCTCGATACGATAGCTCGACCGCTTATTGTTTTCCACGTTCCATCATCTGGCTCTTCAAGCTGGATTTTGGAGCGGCTTGCACTCTCAGCAACTGCAGCGTTTTCGCTTTTCTGAATATCCAACTCCTCGAGCCACTTCTCTTGCTGATAAAATGAGCCTTTGTCGCTCTCTGCCAATTTTGCGGCCCATTCTTTGTCAAACTCGCTCTTCGATTTCCTTTTCGCTCTCGGTTTCGATGACGAAAACGGACACAAGCTTTTCTTTTTTTTTTTTTTTGGCAGCATTTTCACCGAAGCAAACGCTAAATATCGACGGAGAATTAAGGTTGTGTTTTCACTAGGGCGATTAACTAGCTGAACATTCTTTCTAGGATTTGTTTACAAACCGAGTTTTACTAGTTAAACGTGACAACTGTTTTCACTGTGGCAATCTAAGCCACTAACTCAGAGGATTCAAATTGCAAAAGCGCGCCATAATAATAAATGAAAGGGGACGAAGTGCTTGTAATGACTTCTCGTGTGATTATTTTCGCTGTATTTTTGCGACGGAGAAGGAGTTTTATTCAGCAAATGAGGCTTATGTCCTTACAAATGAGGAAGATGCGACGAAATCTTTTAATTCCGTCAATGCAACAATGAAACAATATTCAGTGCCATAACTGGGATAAGCGCAAGACTATGTGGGTTTATCCAAGACCACAATTCTGGTTTAAGGATCTGGCCGAAGAAATAGACAATGCAGTGGGGTCGGTGCGATTGTAAATCGAAAGAAATGACTGTTGGAATTGTCTGCCATGTTGAATTTCTCAAGCTCAACCAAGAAGCAATAGCCTCTGGAAAATAATATTACCGGATTATTTGGCAGGCGTCTGTCACTACGCGCGACCCGATTGGCTACAGCGTTTATCAGGACAAGTTATACCATCTCGCGAGGTAGTATAACTCTGCATGAATTTCCGCTCGTAAAGGCGAGAAAATCCCTTGTTTTTGCTTGTGAAAACAGCTTGCATTTTTAACTAGCTAAAACCAAGACGAGGTGTTTTCACTGTATTTCCGGACTTTTCCGGCTTTATCTAGTTAAAATTGTCCTAGTGAAAACACAGCCTAAAGGCTATAAACAACGCGAAGACAATTCGCGCGTGTTATGTCGAAGCACGCACTCGGTATCACGTTACTAGTTCACAGGCAAGTTAATTGATAAATGACACGGGTATGACAGATCTTGTCAACGATCAATTAAGATAGTTAACGAGAAAAAATCTTTTACCCCGATATCTTTCGACAGAAATAATTTTTTAATTTTTTTTTAAAAGAAAGCTCTCAAGTATATCTATTTGAAAACGTTGAAATCTCAAAAATGGAAAAATGGCAATTTTAAGGGTGGCTGATACCTTAATAATATTCCCGATCGCTTCCTCTGCAAAGCTGACTTTATTCTTTCAAGGCATTCACACTTTTACATAGCAGGTTTGTAAAGCCACCAGACTGAATCTGAGAACTTTTCAAGAAAATAATCCTTGCAACAGGAAGGGACCAAGAAACGGTCAAATGGGAAAAAAAGGAATGTTATTCCTAAGCAAAATACGCATGATTTGCTCGTTGGCACTCTATCGATAGGTATACCTAGTTACAAAGTGTGACAGTTTTATTACAAAGTGCGACAGAACACGCCTTAACCTAATTTACACCTTAATCACAAAGTTCAGCAAAGCGTAAATTTGCATTTTAAAAGAGGGCTTTTGTCAACATACCGTGATCGTATATAGCTGCAGTCTTTTATTTTCCGTCATTTGGCCTTGTTTTGCTTCGCTCGCTTTTCAAGTAATATATCAAACATGAGATGCAGTGTTTAATCACCAGATGAAACACCGAGAAGAGAGTTGAAAATACGACGCGCAGCGGAGTATTTTTGACGAACTTCGAGGTGTTTCATCTGGTGATGAAACCCTGTGTCGAATGTTTGATATTTCTTCTCAAACAAAATCATTTTTGAAGGAGAAATTAAGGATACAAAAATAAGCAGTTTTTCATCTGATATCCAAACACTCATTAAACATTAATTTCCTTTGAATTTTCTTTATGAATTATTAATGAGTTTGAGAAGTATGGAAGTCACTTCTTATCCGGATGAAGCGACTAGTGCAATTGTCGCAAAAAAAACTAAGCACTCCTAAAAGTAGACGCTATTTAATTATCGAGCACAAAATCTCACTTCACAGCTTCGGTACTTCTGGTTAATGCCGAACCGTGCACGCCATTTCTTTCTACGTGTTCCTTGCCGTCTTTAACTAGTTTCTCATGGTTGACGAGGCTTCATCATCTACCGGCGCCGTCCCTACTTCGGCAAATACCAATTCTACTGCTTGTCCGGAACCGACAGCTAATAAGTACATCAAGGGAATTAAAGGGGTGGCTTACATCTTGGCTATCCTCCTTTCGCTGTTTGGTAACATTATGGTGGTACGTGTGGTCCACAAAAACCGACGAATGCGAACGATAACCAACTACCTTATCATTAACATGGCCCTGGCGGATCTACTGATCACAGTGTTCAACATGTTATCAACTTTGTACTGGATTTTCAGCGGCTCTAATGTGTGGGCTATTGGAGGATCGATAGGGGATGTCCTTTGCAAGCTTCTCGGCTTCGCGCAACCCGTCTCAATAGCAGTCTCCGTTTTCACGCTGTGCGCGATCGCGTTCGATCGCTTTTTCGCCATTTTCAGACCACTGAAACGCGTCATCACATTTCGCGTCGCTAAATTCATCATTGGGGCGTCGTGGGTGTCGGCGATTATCGTCTCAGGTCCTCCGATTTATACTTTGAAGACCACTGGTGAGAGGGGCTTTGTTTACTGTAACGAAAAGTGGGAACCGCCTTTCAACGAGGCAACCGCCTCACGCGATTACACGATCGCGCTCTTTGTTTTACTCTACGCCTTTCCTTTGACTGTCATCGCGTCTCTTTACACGGTTATCATGTTAAAGTTGTGGCGCAGACAAGCACCAGGTCAAGAGCTTACTTCCAACCAGCAAAACAAGGAAAAAACCAACAGGAAAGTCTTGAAAATGCTGGTAACGGTGGTGATAGTTTTCGCGTTGTCGTGGCTGCCGTTATACGTGCGAATGTTTATGATGTTCGTCGAGTCTGATCGCTATGCCTGCGGCTTACCCTACGACATGGATTTCCTCACACTCTTTCTCGGACACGCAAATTCGGCTGTTAATCCTTATATTTACGTGATTTTCAACGAAAATTACAGAAGAGGCTTTCGAACTGTGCTTTTTAGACGAGACTGAGGAAGCAAAAGTTCGCCAACCTTAAGAGGCCCTGCGCCTAAGAAACGACCGATGATTTCCGGCTAATAAAATAAAATCGGCCAATTTTTATCTCCCAAGTAGAGGTTACCGAATACTATTCAAAAATGAATTTCTTTTGTTTCAGTTTCGCTTTAAACCAAAAATATCGAGCCGCAAACTTTTTCCGTCTGATAGCAGCAAAATCAGGCCTAAAATAAGCTCTCGCAAAAAACGGTTCAGAAATCACTATCGCGACGCAAAACAACGAGAAAACCACACAGGGATGAAGAAAAAGGCCTTTTAATGCAATATCATTCGATAAACATCAAAAAACTTTATTGCATATTAAATTAGATGGAGCGTTGGAGTTGATTGCTGCGGAGCGACCGCAGGGAGTGAGCAGCAACATAATCAGGATTTAAAGGAAATATATAAGGGGCGATGAATTCTCGAATTCATCACTTTTTACCACAATGCATTGCACTTAACCACACTTTTTACCACAATGCATTGTATTTAACTAGAGTGCATTGCGCCACGGACAACTCAAATAAAAACACGGGGAAGTTCGCATCGTTCGCTGCCCAAACTCAGAGTTTTCTTTGTAGCAAATTTTCTACAGCACGGTTAGAGGTCTTACCAAATTTAAGCCACGCAGGAGTCTTTCAGATGAGTACGATGGTTAACTTGGGGATTGGTTTTTAATTCAAGAGCCTTTGACGCATCCAGGTCACTGAGGTGTTAAACCTGACGAGAAGATGAGCATTTGCTCTTCGACTCTGCAACACGGGGGATATACAAATTCCAGCTTGCTAGAAGGTGATGTGAAAGTATGAAAATGTCATGCCATGCTATTCGTAAGAACCTGTATGAGCCGAAAATGGATGTGATTTTGACCATTCGCTTCAAAATAACAGCGGAAATCGAGACAACAAAACATATGTTTTGTGTCCTACGTTGCAGACGAGGACGTGTATCGGCGTTTTGAAAAGCATAATTATGTTCTTTCATTTATTCATTGCCGTGGAATATGCGTTTACATTGTTTTTTACTGTTAATAGCTCGGTTAATGCGGCTGGCGATCATCTGCCGGCGGAAGTTTCATGGAAAAGGGATTAAACTAAAGACTGTTCCCAAACTTACCTGTTCAGTCTCTGTGGTATAGTGGTTAGGTGTAGTCGCGTCGAGCCGATGGTGCCGGGTTCGACTCCTACCTAACTCTTTTTTTCCTTCTTTCTTTTTTTTCCGTTTTTTGTGTTGTTGTTTTCTATAAATATATAGCTATATAACTGTTACTTAATAAAGTGCAATAAACAGCAAGGAAAGTATCGTGTTTCCAGAGAAAAGATAGTACACCGTATACTAAATATATCGATAAACAATCTGAATTTCTATCATTTCCTACAATTTACTGTGGGAAAACCAGAGTTGATAACCACTTGATCATTTTCTAAACAACGTTCCCGCGAGTTCTCTCTATAGACTGATAGTAATTATTCTAGTACTTTCCAACATGTAAATGGGACATTCAATGTCATTTTCGATTACTTTAAGTCCCACTGCCTAACTAATGCCAGTATCAACAGAATGTGCCGCAGCATTACTATCTTTTAGATACCCTAGTTTTAAAATAATAATTTCTCAAAAGTCCAACGCTGCTGAAAGCAATCACAGTGATGAATCAGACATTGGAGAGATATACATCACGTTTTCGGAAAAACATTTTTCGGCCAAAGTATACTGACGTTGTAAAAACCGTTCAAAGTTACCGTATTTACCGTTAAGTTGCCACTTCGGCGAAACACTTTTCTGTTGCCAATATGGCCAAGGATAGCGTGGTAAACGCCACTTTTAAGCCTTGCTAGGCGCTCAAGACCATCCTAAATAGAAGTATATAGAATTAAAAGAGAAAGGAAAATGAAAGATTTGCAGAAAAAGAGAATAACTCGAAATTACCTTCTGCTAAGGAGAGTTGAATCTTGGAAATGTTGTCGCGTGACAGCGTTCATTTGTCCGAACTGCAGCGGGATCCAAACAAATACGTGAAATATAAGTTTAAAAAAACAGTCTTTCTATCACCAGAAATCGTGAAGTGAAACAGTTTTATGTTTTTCCTATTAATGATGATGAATTCAGCCTCAGCTAGTCTCCAAGTACTTTGAATGTGGGCTGCTTGTATTTCGTTACATACATTCCAACGGACGGTACGGGTCAGCGCTTATAGGGGTCATTGGAGCTTACTTTAGTAAAGCATTCGATAGTATCCCCAGAGGGAAACTGTTTCAAAAATTGAAGCTAGCGGGAGTAACGGGGCGCTTCCTTGAGATTTTACATATTTTGACTCCAATGATAAATCATCTGTGAAAATTGAAAATATGCTAACACCTGCCTTTCGATGCCATACCGGTGTAAAACAAGGTTGCATGCTCTCGCCAACCCTTTTTAACCTTTATCTCAGTGACCTTTCAGAGAAACTTAAGGCCAAGAACCTAAATGACGTAGAACTAAACGAGTTACCGTTAAGTTGTATGCTCTACGCGGATGACTTGGTCATATTCTCCAAATCAAAAAACGGACTGCAGAATTATTTGGATTCCCTCAGTGAATACTGCAAAGAAAACGACTTGTCGGTTAACCTTAATAAAACTAAGGTATTAATTTTTAATAACTGCGGGAGAACCATGAATAAGCACGTATTATACTATAGAGGCAGTAAACTTGACAATGTTAGCAATTACAAATATCTTGGCCAACAATTTAGTACTTATGGGACCTTCACGTAAGCTAAACAGGAAATAAAGAAGGTTGCCCTTAAAGCTTTGTACAAACTCAGGAAGGAAATGGGCGACCATTTCAGAGACGATGTACAGCTCACAATGAAAATTTTTGACACGGTTATTACCCCAATACTCACCTACGGAAGCGAGGTCTGGGGGGTCGATCACGACGGAAAGCTAGAAAATGATCCAATTGAGTTTGTTCAAACAAAGTTCGTAAGGTGGCTATTGGGAGTTAACAAATTCTGTAGCTCAAATGCGTGCAGATCGGAGGTAGGCCGTTTCCCAATGCGAACGAAGACAAAGTGCAGAGCCATTAAATATTGGCTGAAATTTTGTGAGCCGGAGCACCAAAATAAACTCTCTGGAATAGCATTTACAGACCAAATTGGTCAAGATAAAAAGGAACTTTGGTCAAGCACATTAAAACGACTATTAAACCTCGCAGGTCTTGGCGACATATGGTCAGCGAAAACTAACACTCCCGCAGTCATGAACTATATACGACAGAGACTCTTAGACATAGAACAGCAAACATGGATTAGCGAAATACACAATGATGAACGAAAGGACCCGCATCAAACAAACAAACTAAGAACTTTTAGGAAATTTAAACTTACCCATGACTACGAAAATTACCTCACAAATGTAAGAAACATCAATCATAGAGTAGCAATCACAAAGCTAAGATTAAGCAACCACAAACTAGCAATTGAAACTGGACGATACGTTAAACCCTATCAACCACCAGACCAAAGAATCTGTCCATTATGTAAAACTGGATTAGAAGAAGAGGAGCATTTTTTGATGAATTGCATAGCCTATAGGGATCCTAGGAGAGAGCTGTTCAATACGCTAAAAAAGGAAACTAATCTTATTCTTGACTCCATGACTCCAAGCTCTTCCTTTACAACGTTGATAAGTATGAAGCAAGGAGAGAAAACGCAAAAAATTGTGGCTAAATACGTATATGATCGCTTCCGTGAAAGAGATAGACGCGTTAAATATAACCTTGTTTAATAGTTGTATAAATTTTACAAATGTATACCTCTGTAATTATTGCACGAAAATCTTTGTTATCATTGTAAACACATGTGTCTGTAGGCGCTCTGTTGATAATAAAGCACTTATCCTAAAAAAAAAAAAAAAAAAAAAAAAAAAGAAAGGTGACGAAGTTGGAGAGCAACGCCATGCTAGGGGGGTCATTGGTAGGTACCCAATACCGAAAATAAATGCGGTATCGGTATTTCGTCGATTTTTGACACGGTATTTCGGTATTTACCAATTTTTCTCACGGTATTGCGGTATTTAATCAATTTAATTCAATTTTGCGAGGAAACGTGAGACGACCTCGAATTGATCGGTACAACGAACGAAAAAGATACCCTACCAATTTCATCACAGATTATCTGTCAGAAATTGTGTAATGGTAATCATTTACCATTAATCTAAAGTCTTAAAAATACTGACGTGCATTAAACTAGCCTGCGTAGCAGGCGCTTGGAAGTAATGGGCGCGAGAGAGAGCGGGCGCGCGCGAGGGAGACACGCGAGGGGTCATCCAAACGCCTGCTACACAGGCTAGCATTAAACAGGAGAGGGCAATGAACAGTACCGCAATACCGTGATCTTCTTTTACCGAATACCGTTAACCAAAAGGAAGAAATACCGCATACCGCAGGGCTAATAAATGATACCGCAATACCCCACTTTAAAATCCAAATTAACGAAATACCGCTTGAAAAAAAGCTCAATACCGTAAGCGCCCATTTCCCCCTCCATGCTGTTGAAGAGGTGATAGAATATTTGGGCTTAAAACATCCGATTATATTTGCTGTTTACAATCTTTGTCATAATTATCACAGCAACAAACTTTCATCTTTCAATGTTAGTGTTGAAAGACATGTGCGGGTATTTCGAAATACCTTACAAATCTACAGATCTAAAAAGAGACCTTTTAGCCAAGGTTTCAGTGTAAAGGAGTGTGACTGAGTGCAGCAAAAAATAATTTCATTCTGTAACTTTCCTGCGCAAGAGTTTGAGTGCATGGTATGCTGTCCAATCGGTAATGTGACAAGTTGTGCGTTGTGCATTGGTTATCATCTAAATATTATAAATATTATTGTGGAAACAAATTATGAAGCATATTATAAAATGAAGTTGCAAAATGAGTGAGGCACTTTCATCGATTTAAAAGTCCTACCGGTCTCCTATCTTTTTTTATGATGTCCTCCCCAATATTTGGGTGACCCTATTCGGCGGAATGGCGGGCAATCAGTTGTAAAATACGGAATATACGTAATACTCTAAAACACGGAATTTACAGAATATTCTGTATTTGATTTGAACTGGACTGACGAAAAAGCAGAGGCAATATTAAAAATTCAATTTTCGTACTGCCGTAAGCCACACTATAGACCTTATGACGGTTTTGAAAGCCATCTTGACGGGTGAAGGGTCCCGTATCACGGGAATCTAATGTCGAATAACTTTAATAAAACGGCTGTTCTAAAAAAAAAAGAATTGTAAACTTAAGCTTGACAGGATTGTACTACCAATTAATGGGGGCCGCACCTGTTCCTAAATTTGTCCGGTCGCTTGCTTTAGATTTTCCAGAGTCTTCAAAGTCTTCAAAGGAATGATCTCTTCTTCAAATTTTGTGGAGATTGCTCGGCTGGTCGTTCTGGCGAGGAAGGATCGGATCCAGGGACAACAAGTCCGTTTTCCAGTCTCCTTGATCCATTACCTTAATCGACTTGCACTTTGTTTTGACTGCGAGCTTTTTTAAGAAAGGTGAATATAAGGAAGGAAAGCTCCATCGACAAAGTGCCCAACAAGTTTCAAGGTAAGTCCCTCGCGTTAACTGAGCATTCACCGTCAGTATTTGTTACTGCTACAGTTTCAAGTGTTGTTCGTTTTCAAATAAATATCAAAGTTCTTTTGTTAACATTTGGTTGTTTCTCAAAAAAGAAATAAGCGCCCTGTCCCGAATAAGCGTCCTTCCTAGAGGCACCAAAAGTAAATAAGCGCCTGGGCGCTAAATCGAATCATTACGGTAAGTCAATTCTTTTACTTGTCACGCGCTTAAAACATGGTTCGAGTTAATGAGGGTAAAATTATATAGAAATGATCTGAAGAGAAACAAAAATTAGTATTACTTCGAGTTAGCACGAGGTTCGAGTCAGTAGCGAGGGTTCGAGTTATTGGAGTCGACTGTATACATGTATACCCTTTTTAAACGATTTTTCTCTTATTCTGCGTTTTAGAGTATTCCGTATATTCCGTATTTTACAATATTCCATGTATTCCATCATTCCGTTCCATCATTCCGTCAGTCCGCCATTCCACCGAATAGGGTCACCCCCGATAATTTTCATGTCCAAGAAAATACTAAACGCGAGGCTAATCATTGTGCCAAGAATTGAATCTGTTAGCTACATTTTATAGCGCTAGATAATAGTCCTTTGAGAAAAAAAAATAATAAAAAAGATAAAAAAAACGTAGTTCTTGGGCGTAATGAACTCAGTTTTCGGGACCAAGATGTTCCTCGTTCTCGGGAGCAACAGTACTCCAATATCTCTCTCTTTTTTCCTTGAAGGAAGACATCGGACATTGACATGAATGATTCTCGCCCGAAAAAAAAAAGATGGGATCAGATTTCTTTCAATAGACCGCTGACCAGAAGCGTCGACTCGTGACCCCACAACGATCAGATCACGCTGAGGCCAAAACGGTGCGGCGATTCGGGAATTTTT